ATCAAAAGGAATGAACCTTCACTGACCCAAATAGCAAAACTACAAAATATATTCAGAACGCAAGGACAGCAGTGGCAAAGCACTGATACTTTGATGGACAATATATACACACAGAGTGAAAGGAAAGGAAACCCAACTGAAAACCAACAAGCCAGAAGATTCAATTAATTTACATAAATAAGTGAGAGGGAGAGAGTGGCTATAAAGTTTCTGAGATTGACTAGTCAACTACAACGTGGAACAACCTAAATCCCAAGTTTCCTCATCCAGTCTCTTCCCATTGTCAAAAGTCCTCCATTCCAAGTTTCAAGAACTCCAAAAGTTAAGATATAGCAGAATCATTTTGACTTCTTTCCATGAATGGAAGAAGCTGCTATTAAACTTGGCGAAGAATGTTGGAATGCAGAGACACAGTTCTATTTGAGACTAAACTATATGTATGAAAAACATACATAAACCTCATCCGGGGTGAAGGGTAATCCTACAAGAGGAGTATGGAAACTTCAATAGGCCTAAAAGAGTACAACCAAATGAGTTTCTAAGCTCCACTGGATGAGCCAACGCTTACAAACATTCAGAATTGAAATCTAGATATACGCATTAAAGATTAGATGAAATTCAGCTGGTTGGAAGATTAGCAGCATGCTACCATCGACCATAGAAAACAAAAGATCCATTGCGCAATCAATGGTGGCTTTACATGTTAGGCTAGGAAACTTAAAGGCACACGCCACCCCCACCCCCGGCCCCAACCCATGATAAAAAAAATAAAAAGAAAAGGAGAAGAGTAAGAAAGAAAAGAGAAAAGATCAGCCATTAACGTACAAAGCAATGATATTCTGACAACTGTTCCAACCCCCACCCCAAAAGGAGACAAAGAAACATAGGACTGTCAGGCACATTAACACGTCCAATGAAGGGATGAATCCTTCGTGGCATCATGTTTGTCGCTTAGTCAGCCCCCAATTAAGCGGCATTCCACAGCTCTAATTGACCGTTGGATCATCAAAGGCTTGGAAAAGCCAGGACACAAATGGATAACCTTAAAGGCACGTGCATGTCGAAGAAAATTCTTCAACCAAAGAATTGGACACCCACCTCAAACTGCTCCAAAGTTGAATATGATCCGTTAGCCAACTTGTTCCTAACGGTAGCAAAGTCCATAGGATGCTCAATGACATCGTGATAGTCAGGAAGCTACAACAACAAACATTATTTCAAATTTGGATGCCGAAGAACACTTGAAACAACCACTTAAAGGGGGGGAATTGCAGACCTCTTCAGGATCAACTGGTTCAGCATAGACACCATAAGTATCCTTCCTGCCATCATTTCAGATATTAATTCTAAGAACTTGGAATTTCACATCATAACAAAATCAAAAAGAAAAAGAGATTCAATTCCCCCCCGTACTTCTGAAGTTTGTCAAGAATCAACTCCAATGTCTTCTTATCAGGTAATGGCAACCCGGATGATCGATCTGAGGGAGTCCCTGATCAAAGGAACACCACAAATTAAACAAACCCAAATCAAATACTAATCTCAAAGATCAAAAGAAGACAAAATTGGAATAAACCTGCAAACTAGAATCACAAATTGAATTGAAAAGAACACAAACCTGGAACAGAGTCGGACCCCTTCGAGCCCACCTTCCTTCCCCTTTCCTGTCAAAACCCGTAGTGTCAAATAAAAGGGCATATAAACAAACTCATAAAATTCGCAATACAGCACGAGTGATAAACAAGTAGAGAAAGAGACAGAAACAGAGACAGATAAGGCAGACAACAAGGAAAGAGAGAGAATGATATGTGAGTGAGTGAGTGGTGGAGAGAGAAAGGTGGGAGAGCGTGATCAGATTCCGTAGGGGTGTTAGTTTTTGACAGTTGACCCCAAAATCCTTAAAACCTCTCCAAAGACCTAGAGAGAGAGAGAGAGAGAGAGTGAAACGGATGCTTGAGAAATGGAAAAGAGGTAACGCTAATTTTGAAGTCTGGGCCAATGGCGTAAACATCTCAGTGATCTTTCTGCCCTCACGCCTCTCTTGTTCATCAATCTTGTTTGTATTCAAGTACCTCATCAATGTCATCATCTTCATTTTCGTCTCCATCTTCATCTTCATCCTCTTCTTCACCTCCGCCAATCCTCCTCTTCTTCAATGGCTTCCTCTCTGGTTCATCTTCCCCTTCCGACGCCGACGAACCGTACTCCGCCGCGTCCTCTCTACGCGCTCCAGACCTAGAAAGTCTGGCCACCGGCGACAGATTCTCTCCGTCTCTGCTCTGGTTGAGCTTCACAACAAGCTTGAGCTTCTTCTCTCTTCTTCTCTCGTTCTCTTCCTCATCCTCGTCGTCTTCTTCAAGAAAATCGTCGTAATCGATGTTGTACCGCACATTCCGGCTGCGGAGGCTCCGTCGCGGTTCAGATTCCGATGATGTCAGTCCTCCACCGGACCGCCGTGCCAGATCTGCCTTCGATGGTCTCCCTTTCTTCTTCCTCTTCACGATCTGACCCATCCCTTTTTCTCTCACTACGAGACTTTCTCTCTCTAGAGTTCACTCCCTCTCTGTCTCTCTCTCTCTGTCACTCCTTTTCTTCGGTACATTATTTTCGATGCTGTTTGGCTTTTTCGTGAGGCATCTCTGAGGTCCGAACCTAACCACAACTGCAGCCTCGTTTTCCGAACCTATGGCTCTGACCACCCTTCGGGATTAAAATTTCATTCACTTTTCCTGTTTTAACCCTCCTGCGTAAAAACGATGCTCTTGTAAGACGGCGTGTAGTGCTGCCCGCTACCCGATTCTCTGCCCGCTTGACCTTCCGTGTTGCTTTTGCTCCTGCCCGTGGTTCTACGTCATTTCTCTCTCACTTTTATAACCTACGCGCTTTAAGCGCGTGAATTAAGATTTAAATTACAAATTTAGTATCTAAATAAATTAATTAAAAAAAAAAAAAGTCAAAAACTTAGTTTTTAGAATTTTAAATTTTAATAAATTAAATTGACAAACTTTGATCAATATTAAACGCTCTATTTTGGGTTTTCCCAAAATGCCGCATTCCAATGAAGAGAGTATCATTTAGTTATAAACTCATGATCATTCACTAAATTAGCTAACGTGGAACTTTCATTATCAAACATAGATGACCCAATAATCTGATCAACTTGAATTATGAGTCGGGTTGAATTTTTAAATAATTAAAAATTTGGATCCGTTACAAAGTTCACATTTTTTTCAACCAAAAATAAGGTTACAACTCAATCCCACCTAATTTTAAGATTATTATAAAAATTAAAATATTCGCGTTAGAAATACGTTGTGATTGGTAAATATTTGATATTTGAATTTTATGAATTTTTAGTTATTAATTTAACATATATCGTAGATAAGTAACCGACCGTGGTAACCCAACTACAAAATAAATTATTGAAAATTTTATTTGGATTGTTCGGGTCATTAATGCATCCAAGTATAAACTTAGGGTTAATCTAAAAAACTTACCACCGAACCCACCCCAACCCAATCTATGTACACTCTTAATTTTAATAAATTGTGAGCCATACTTCGTGGTAAGTAAGTGAAATTTTTAATTCATGTAAATCAACTGATAATTCAATTAATAACGAAAATATTATGCTCGGTCCAAAAGACCGTACAACGACCACAATGACTAATATACCCTCAATCTTGAACAAATATACTTAGGCTGAGGTAGGTGCAATGATATGAATAATTATTAACGGGTTTATTTCACCTTTTAATGATATTGAGCAATTAATTTAAATATAAATATATATTTTTTTAATTATTATTTATATTGTTTCTAAATGTATAACAATGGACACGATAATAATATTAATTCATTTAATTTTTAAGGGAGAAGGTTATAATTTTTTATTGCTATTATTACTATTTTTCCATCTAATAGTAATTATTAAACTAAATTAGATTAATTACAGAAAAACGGTTTAAAATATTGTTTTTTAATTCCTTCCAATTTTTAACGTGAAACCCACGCGTAATCTAGGCGAGTGAGAGATAGTTTTCAAAAGTTGTTTGCGAAAGCGACTGTGGGACCCAGTCCAACCCACTGTAGAATATATTATTTTACACGTCTGCCGGACAGGATATTTCCGTCATTTTACAACCTTCTGCCTTCTATTTTACTTCGTCTGCCACGTGGCTATTCTTTAAAAGGTTGTTTTGTATCTTGTGAACGGCTCTGATGAAGCCACGCGACGATCGGAGCGACAATCGACTGGAATGAAAATTTGATTGGTGGTACGTGGGGCCCTGGTGGATTTATAAATTATAATTTAATTTAATTTACTATTAAAAAAATTTCAATAATAACATTAACATTAATTTAGATAAAAATTATTAATATTTTGTTTAAAAAATTTGATTAATACCTTTTAAATTTTTTTTTTAATTTTCAAAACTATCTTTAAATTTATTTAAAAGATTAAAAAATATCTTTAACATTAATACACAGCTACAAGAATACTCGTAAATTTTCGAGCAAATAATTTTTGAAGTGTTAATAAATGGTTTTCGTCTCTCAATATTTTTTATTTATTTTTTTATAAACGTAAAAAGTGTTAATATTATTTTTAAATTTTTAGAGATATTCTTTAAATATATTATTAGTCGTAAAATATTTTTGAATTATTTTTAAAAAATTTAGAGTAAATTAATTAAATTTTTTAAGGATTTTTATAATTTAGTGAGATTTTAAAACTTTTAATTATGAATAAAAAAATTACAAATTTTAAGTATTAAAAAATTTAATAAATTATTAGATAATTTTAAAACCTTTAAATTAAATAGACATAATTGAAAGAGTTTTAAAATATTAGATACTAAAATTATTGTTTGGTTTTCTATTTTATTTTAGAGACTATTTTATTTATTTTTTTATTATTTTTATAATAAAAAATATATTATCAATATATTTTTTAATATTTATATATAATTTTTTTCTGAATTTCCCCTCCCATCACTGTAGCATTTGCTCCTTCGTCTTTATCCATGGAGAAACTGAAGAAGTCGGTGATCGAAATCGCCTACAGCAGGGACCACGCTAAGCTCTCTTCTCTGCAACGTTCCCTCATCCCCTTTCTCTACATGGCGTCTTCTCTCTACAAGCTCGGTCTGTCCCTTCGTCACCATTTCTACCTCTACGGCATATGTTCCAAGCATCGGTATGAGACCTATTTTGAACTGTTCACGACTATCATTGGACGCAATTTCTTCTGAACTTCAGATCAATTCCTGGTCTAGATGTTGTTTTATGGTCGGCTTTTAGCCGCATTGAAAGGTTTGAATCTGGTTTTTGAAAATTTGGGAGTATGAGTGAGTTGAGTTGCTTGTGCTGGTTAGTGTGTTTTTGCGCGATTTGTTTCGTAATAGCGAAGGGAAGTTGGAAATTGATGCACTGGATTGTGTTAATCTTCATTCTTTAGTTATTGATATTTCTTGTAATTTTTATTTCGTTTTGGTGTTTTTACGTTTTCTGTATGTTGATATGAAGGTTGCCAGTGCCAGTTATTAGTGTTGGGAATTTGACTTGGGGAGGCAATGGGAAAACACCAATGGTCGAGTTCATTGCCTTATGGCTTGCGAGCTCTGGGATTTCACCTCTAATTCTTAATAGGGTAACTCGATTTGAAGATAACATGATTTTCTTTTCCACATTTCACAATTTCAGTACTGATGGATGTGTGCCGAAGTTCGATTTTGCTTCTTGGAATGTTGATTTTGATGCTTGAAGTAAGATGGCAATTTAGTTTTGGTGGTGCTTCAAGAATTATTTGTTTGTTAATTGTCCATAACTTTATGGTATTCTAAAAATTAAGATGGAAATCATGAATCCTGCTGGGTTGATGCCTGCCAGGGCTATGCTGGTGGGGATGAAGCTAAAATGCTTAGGAGGCATCTTGCTGGGAGTCTCGTTAAAGTAGGTATTGGAGCAGATAGGAGAGCAACTGCTGCTTGGTATTTTAACAAATATGGTTATGTTGGATCTCGGAGTAGCACATTGACTGAGAAGTGTTGTTTAGAACAAGCGAGAAATCTTCCGAAGTCCGAAAAAATTGGTGCTATTATTCTTGATGATGGGATGCAGGTACATAATCGTCTAACTCTTAGTTGTTAATGATGCTTTTACTGGGGATCTCATGCACGAGATTTGTAAAAGGGCGACGGATAGAACCAGTGGTATGAATAGGTTATCAGGCACTCACCAGCCTTGTTGATTCTGATTTTTACTAGGTTTTGTTGTTTAGAGACTTTGGAAATGGATTTTTTGCTACAGATTTTTGACTGTGATAGCTTAATATTGTTCATGGAATTCAGCACTGGAGTTTGCACCATGACTTGGAGATTGTTATGTTCAATGGGATAACACTGTGGGGAAATGGGCAATTATTACCACTTGGACCTTTAAGAGAACCATTGGCTGCACTCGAGAAGGCAGACGTTGCCATTATTCATCATGCTAATCTGGTAAAGAACGTGGATCGAACTTTTATCGCATATTGCTGCTGGCAGCTTCTTCAGGAAGATCTAACTGCTTGTTATAAAGTCTGAATCTATGTAAACTTGAAATTTATCCTTGAAACCACAGATTTCGGCACAAAGAAACGAAGATATCATTATAACGTTGCGGAAAATTAAGGATTCGCTTACTGTGGTGTTTACCGAAATGGCTCCCTCATTCTTCTTTGAAGTTACAAATATCAATTCCAGAATATCTTTGGGAACATTGTCTAACAGTGTTGTATTATGTGTTTCTGCCATTGGCTCTGCTGATGCTTTTGTGCAGACAATGCAGAAGGTATCGCAACAATTCGTTTCGTTTCCATCTTCTCGTTACTTTTGGCTTTGTTTTGATGTGTTCAAGAACATAGTAGCTTGATCGATATTTTCTGTTGTTTGCATTAGCATTTCAATCGTCTTATCCATTTTTCGTTTCCATTTTCTTATTACTTTTGGCTTTGTTTTTATGCGTTCAAGAAGATCGTAGCTTGACTGATATTTTCTGTTGTTTGCATTAGCATTTCAATCGTCTTATCCATTTTGTACCTAATGTTTTCATTTGTAATTGGAAAATCGTTCCCTGCAGATAGGAGCATATCATGTTGATCGACTCGACTTCACCGACCATCACATGTATCAAGACAGGGTAACTATTTTTCTACTGCATGTCTGTCATGTCTCATACAATAACCTATACATTATAGACATAGTGGTGTTTACACAAACAATCCAGGTCTTGCAAACTAGAAATGTATAAATTGAATTATTTCTCTCGACCTTTTTCGCCACGTTCTGTTCGTATTGTTGACGCCTCAACTGTCTATTTTCAAATCATATAGGACATGGCATTGATTAAAATAAAGCTTGAGGAATTGGAGAAGACGTTGGCCTCTAAACCAGTCATTGTTGTTACAGAAAAGGTGAGTACAAACAATACACATCTTGCTAAGTTATGCATGATTGTGATGCCTGTCAGTCCTCCCTCGTAACCTTTCAAGGTTTTGGGTTCAAAATTTTATCTTAGAAGTTAGAATCCTTGTCGTCTCCCGGACTTGACCGTTCGTTAGAGCGGAATTTGTATCTGAAAACATATATCTTCCCAGGATTATGATCGGGATCCAGCGATATTCGAGAACTTGCATCCATACCGTGTTTTGGCCCTTCGTTCTCAACTGAAAATCATGAACATCAAAGGTTGCAACGAGGATCGCTTCGAGGAGTTGTTGGAGAAGACGGTACGAGTGAAATTGTCTTCTGTAATGAGGTCTTCTGAGCTCGAAGTCTGCAGTTGAGGTTAGATCTTAGACCATCTAAATAGTTCATGTTCAATTATGATGTATCGCATATATTTCATGTAATATTGAAAAATTAAAAAAGAAAAGAAAATGGAAAAAAGAAAAAAAGAAATGGAGAACTAATAATAATAATATTGTTGTTGTTATTATAATCGAGGTGGTGAAATCATTGACCAACGTCTCACTAATCGACAACAACTTGTATAGAATCTTGTTGCCCGTTGTCTTCAACCTTATATTTCAAAGGGATTTCACTGCTAGTAGACATTTTCGAGTTTTCTCATCGAACAATTTGGAGTTTAATTGCTTATACACAATTCACTCTTTTTTCTTCTATTGGATTTCATTGCTATGTCATTCTTAGATTTACGACCATTCAAGCATCTCTGTTTGTTCCTAGTCGTTAATTAGTCATGGTCGGTCTCGTATCCGCCTCCAATATAACTTTGCACGCTTGTGAGAGTGAGTGCTCAAATCTTATCTTAATTTTTTAGTTTTTTTTGTTCGTTTAAACTCGAAATGTTGTTGATGCAGTATCGTTCACCCTTTGTTATAAAGTGCAAAGTTTATCGAGGAGGAGATCGTACACTCATTGGCTGTCGAAAAGATAAGAAACTCATTGTGAAGTAAGGGACAACCAATTGATCTAGTTCAATTCGACCGGCTAGTTCAATCCAATACTCAAATCTTACCTCAACTTTAAGTTATTTTCATTACTTCAACCTCAAAATGTTGTTGATGCAGCATCGTTTACCCTCTATCATAAAGTACAAAGTTTATCAAGGAGGAAACCATGCGCTCATCAGTTGTCGAAAGGGGAAAAAAACATGTGAACGCTCACTATGAATTAAGGGACGAGTGATCAATCCGGTTCAATCCGATCCGGTTGGTTCAATCCAACTAAACTGGTATGGTTCAATTCAACTAGTTTGTTCTATTTTTGTTGGGTTTTTAGTCGATTTTGATCATACCAATTTTTATTATGATTTAGGGTATGATATAAAGATATTGGAAAATTTAAACGAAATACACTATCCAGTCACGTTTTGAAGTTTCCATAGTAAGTAGTTGTTGTACAAGTTTACGTGCCCTACCTTACATGATTGAGCATTAAAGGGTAGTATAAATTATTGGTTTTGGTATTGTGCTCATGGCTTCCACAAGAAACACTGCACATGTGATCAACAATTTCTCATGTGATCATCTATTACAAAATCTAACCAACAAACAAAACACATCAACAATCATAGATTCTAAAATTGGTATAAGAAAGAGGGAACTTTCATGTTTTACTTCTTTCGAACTCGAATGGACGAACCAATTTTTGATGTTCGTTTATTAATTTGAGTATACTTTTATAGTAAATTATCAATTGTTATCGAAAAGGTTGGTTGTTTGATTCCCATCTTCTAATTTATTGAACTAAAAAAATAAGCAAAGCTTATAATATGTACAGACATAACACGAAACGAGACGATGATAGTGGTATGTGTATAGTTCTTTAGATGATCAAATATTAAAATTACCAAAACAAAAAATTGAAGATATTAGCCTATTGTTTTCGTGGACAAAAGTGACTTTCGTGTTGTTTTATAGGGAAAGAAGTGACCTATATAACATAAGATTATACACTGATGTGATGCTTGCCACGTAGGTTTCGATGGTTAAATTAGATCAAAGAATTTGAGTGCATTAGAGAATGAGAAAGAGTTTACTTACTGGCAAAACCTAGGGATTTTCTATGTTCCTTACGAATTAGGTCATAATTGAAATTAACATAATAGAACACAACCAAAGAGCCCACGAGTTGAGAGCGTGTATGAATATATTTTCCTAGTTCTTTATTCGAAAATGTATAAATATCTCGACCCCTTGTACTCGAGCCAGCTTGTTGATTGTTGGATCAATCTCTGGCCTGTTGATATTACTAGATCGGCCTTTGGCTTGTTGATCATTATTAAAGAATGTATCGAAATCTTGAAATCTTTACACTTCAAATGCCTTCCAACTTATCTTCAATATCTTTAGATGTAACAATCTATCCCCATGATTTCGACCCTACTCTTTTCTTTTAAGAGTGAAAACTGTCTCTTCCGTCCAGCATGTTTTGTCTTCACTCACATGCATCCTAGGAAAATTTCAAGCGCATTTAGTTATGAAGTTCTTATTATTGAGCTACCAAAAAGGAAGGTGTCCGTCTAGGTTAATTTATGTACCCCTTTTCTAATCGAGTGTCATATGTCCACCAACTTTTGTATTTGTTCGTTTTTGAACCACATCGTATTGTTAGATGAAAATGTCCCACATTGGTTGACATTGGTTAATTTAGGGAATGGTGATGGGTTTTAATTTAGGGAATGGTGATGGGTTTATAATCTAAGAATACACTCTCCATTGTATGAGGACTTTTGGGAAGCCCAAACCAAAGCCATGAGAGCTTATGCTCAAAGTGGACAATATCATACCATTGTGGAGAGTCGTGTTCATCTAACATGGTATTAGAGTCATGCCCTAAACTTAGTTATGTCAATAGATTGGGAAATCCTCGAATGTCGAACAAAGGATTCCTGTGATCTTCAAAACGTCTTTAGTCATTGAAGAATTTTATGATCGATTTTATGTGCACAAGTGGATGATTTTTGTGTAACATTGTTCAGTGATAAACGAATAATCTAAAACTCCATTCATTACCAGATTCCATTTCTCACAAGTAATCTTACAATATTTTCAAACAAACAACAAGAATTTCCTTTTTCAATGAAATGGCAAAAGAAAATCACAGAGAATCCGATTCCCAATCTCTATTCTAAGCAACACAATCCTGAATTCACCTTCACCACACAAAAGCACCGAAAAAAAGCAAAGAAAATTGCAATTTCTGTACAGAACACGAAAAAAGTTCAATGGCTTTACCTTCAATTTTCGCTATCTCTTGTTACCGCCAAAACCTTGTTTCTTCCTCCTTTCACTGGCGCCTATTTCTTCGTCTTCCATCAATGCTTTCCCCTCGCTCTCATCGGTACTGTACGATTTCATAATGAACTCCGGCACAATGAAATTCGCTATCAAATACACGATCAGAAGCACGCCGCTGCACAGATTGCCAAAAGAACGGAGAAATTGAGGAGATTAATCTCAGATTGGCTCGATTTTCGAATCTAAAAGAACGAGAAAGTAGCGCACCTTGTCTGGAGGAGGACCGATACGTCGCCGGACTGCGACGGAGGAATAGTGTTTGCGAGAACTAGAGAGTTTGGAATTGCGTTGGCTGTTAGTGAAGCGAATCGGTTGCTTTGTGGAGAAATGTAAATCGGTGGCTGAGATTGTGAGTTGTTCTGCTTCCGTTGCCGGCGATTTGGCTTGAAATGCGATCGGAGAACAGGCAACTCAATGGCGGAGGTAATGCAATTCATCGAGAAAACGGATTTCACCGGCGGAGGAAGATAGAGACTCTGCCAAGCCATTTTGGGGTTTCTATTCGCTGTGTGCATTTGGATAACTTTTATGCGAAATTAAAATGAAAAAAAAAAAAAAATCATTTTAGTAATTTGACTATTTTGACCTCACAAGTTGTGGTAACAAATTTTAAATTGATTTTATATCATTGTTAGGTGCTCGTTGTTGTGTCACTAATCAACTATCGTCGTTAGATCCCACATCGGTTGGATAGGAGAATGAAACACTTTTTATAAGAGTGTAAAAACATCTTCTTAACAGACACGTTTTAACACTGTGAGGCTAACGACGATACATAACGGACCGAAGCATACAGTATCTGCTAGCGGCAGACTTAGATTGTTACAAATGCTTGGTGTACTTGGGTTGTTATAGTCGTTGTCTCAAATTCATTTGTATGATGCTCGAATAAGTAAGAAGCCAAATTTGAAACGAATAGATCAAATGAATAGTCAACTCATTACTTTAACTAGAAATGCAGAAGACCCGACCTGGTTTTCGTTCCCAGTTTATAGATTTAGTTGATACTGATCGACTGTCGTTGTCTCATGGTCCTATGTATGACGCTCCAATAAGGAAGGAGCCAAATTTGAAACAAATCGATCCACTGAATAGTTAAACCATTACTTATAACTAAGAATGTAGAAGACTTTAGCTTTCGTTCCCGTTTCTAAGTTTAGTCGTTCATTCAACGTCAAACACCAAAACTTCCAGATGGGGGCGATGATGTTTGTCAGATAATAACGTCAAAGTGAGCAAAACTTCCTGTTTCTAAATTTAATTTTATAATTATTTATTTTCTTAGGTCCGAATCAAGACTTGAATTTGCCTAAGCTATGGGGGCACGACTATGGCTATCTCATGGGGTAAATCAAACTCTCATTGGATTAGGGTTGACCAAAGAAGCTTGTCTCATCTGTAAGTTAACCAAAGCTTGACACGAGCTAAAGGATTTGACCTAGACGAGGTGGGCTAGTAAATCATGATGAAATCGAAGTTTTGTTGGGACACGTGCACCCACGAAAAATCTGAAAGACGATGATTGATGACTTACTTTAAGCTCGGATCAAAACAACCAAACATTCAAATTAATGCTCTCACATTTATCATATTAAAAACAAAATGGACAAATTCCACGTGGAAAATTACAAAGTTAGGTGGCTAATGATTTTCTTTCCATATTATATTCGGCTAAAAATTATCGTTGTAATTTATTATTTCCTAAATTATTAAAAGTTTGAAAATTCAAAATAGGACAATAAAACGAGGGGCAAATAGGTCAAACCACACAAAATCTAATGGCATCCAATGAAATTGCCCTTTTAGAAATATAAAAATAAAATTAGCTAAATTACTATTTTGGTCATCGAAAAATTTATTTATTTTATTAGTTATAATTATTATTTAACCATATTAAATTTAGACAATTGAAAAAAATATAAGTGGGAGTGTGAAAATAATATTTTAATCTATAGAGCTCTCACAACTATTCTGACTTTCTATTGTTTTCCAATAAAAACAAGACACGTGTCCGGTTTCACTTGAACTGGCCCACACCCTGTGCGAGCCTCGAGCCTTCCAATTTTCCATATCATGGCGTAAAGGAAACAAATCGAAACGTGTTCGACATTCCTTTTCCTCCCTACTCCCTCTTCCTCCTCTCGCTGTTTCTCTTCGAAACCCTTTTGCGTTGATCTCCGGGAGTACCTCCAGTCTCTGTCGTTCCGGTAAGTGCTTTCAATCGATTTGTTCTTGTTCTTGTTTGTATGATGAGTTTAGTTCTCGTTTGGCGGCTGAGAAATTTGTCTCTCTGTTTTGTTTGAGTTATTAGGAAATCGGTTTCTGTGATCTTGTTTTGATTTTAGGTTCTTTTTATTTTTGTTTTTGTTTTCTTTTTGCGTTTTTCTTTTTGGTTTGTTTCGATGTGCGCATTTGATTTAGGAGTTCGTTTCTGTTTTGTCTCTGGATGTATTCTCATCGACTTAAATCGGGAAAGAAAGCACTTTTGTGGATTTTCATACTGTGACTTGATTGTTGCTTTGATTTTCGTCTTACTTGCTTGGTCAGGAGCTGAGAAAATGAGTTTTGGAGTCGTAAGACGACGGATTGCGTCTGGTGGCTCTAATCTGGTGAGTTTCAGTGCATTCTATCCATTTTCTCAAGGTCTACGTGATGCGTATATGATTTGTATCGGTAGGCACAGTTATCTGATTCTGTAGTGCTTTCATTTCAGTTTTCTGTGCAATATTTGCGGGCAATTCGACCTTCCATTTCTGCAGGAAGAGTTCGCACCGTTGCTGAGAAAGAGGTAGTTACGTCTTCTGATGTCTTTGTCTCCTTGTGCGCTTTGTCTGGAGGTGGTTGTTAATGTTGATAGATAGGATATGTTTTGACAAGGCACGAACGGCCTGTAGTACGCAAGAAGTATTTGCTATGTATCTCTTCAATCTTCCTAAAACAAACCTCTCTGTGAAATGAAATGAAATTTAACGGGGATGTTTTTTGGAATTTTTTCATGCAATGAATTATTCATGAATCTTACATGCCCTATTTTCTTTACACATTTAGATTTTGCACCAATGTAGAAGCTTTGGACATGTCAGAAACTTTTCTCACCTACTTTCACCTGGTAATTTTGATTACAACTTCTCTACGTACTTGCTTAAGCTCCTACCTCATGCACCTGGTTCAAATATATGATTTCGTTTGATTGATCGATGCCCGTGTTGTAGGTGGTCCTGTTAGCAGTCCACAATCTCTAAGGTCAGTTACCATTATCGCTTTATACCTTGAGATTATCAGATTGAACTGATCAAATTATCTCATCCAATAGAAGGATATAATTTCAAAATTTCCATTTTCTTAATAACATCCAAACAACAAAATTTTAGTACATTCATTTCAAATGTATTTTATTCCAAAGTAAATTGAGAATTCAAAATCATTTCTAGTTTTTAATACCATGTCATTTGAAATCCTTCATATTCTTTGTTGATTCCAACTGAATGGTAAATTCATGAACTTATTTTGTTGTTATATCCTAATCCATTTTTTTAAAAAGATGATTGTTACTATTTTGTAATTGTTGGTTGATGCCCCACTAAACTGTTTTTTCTACCATGAATCATTAGGTTTAAATCTTATTTTTGCCTTTGAATGACTACACTTATTTTATTTTAGTCCTTGTACTTTCACCATTTTATTTCTATCCTTACTTTACATGAAAAACGTTGTTAGTCTTTATTGTTGAATTTTTGTTTTGCATTTGATAGAAATCTTGGGACATCTATCTCCAAACGTAGACCCAACATATGTGGTACTTTACATGAAAAACATTGTTAGTTTATATTGTTTTTGTTTTGCATTTAAAACGCAAGTCTATGTAATGTCACATAATCTTTTTTGATAAATACAATATAGAATTTTGCCGACAAATACTAGAATGATTAAAGCATATCGTGGATTTTAGTTGTTGTTTCTCATTCTAGTACATCACCAAGAGACAAGAAATAGACTAGTGTTTTTTGTTTTACAACTGTTGCCTTCTTTTCGCTTGGGTTTTTTTTTTCAGTACTTTTTTGTGTATTCTTTCATTCATTCTCAATGAAAGTTGTTCTTTTCCCAATAGAGGAGAAAGAAAAATGGTAATGGAGGTTGTCCTCGTGATGAGTCTCTAGTAGAACAAGTCTTCCTTCTTTGTGACCTGGTAATAATACTAGAGAAATTGGAAATTGAAAGAAAATTAGAGATTGACCCTCTTTATTTTTCTCCAAAACCTTCAATAGGAAGAATGGTATCCTATAAATTATGACCTGCTAGATCGTTAGCGTTTTAAGGTCAATATAAATCTCAAACCACATTCCTTTTTCTTTCGTCTTTCATCTATTGATTAGAAGAATAAATCTAGGTTGGTTAGCTCTTTCTAGCATTATCATGGGTATCAAGCCTTCTCTAAATCAAGATACTGCGTTGTGGAAGCTTAAAATACTTGGGGGAGTTTCCATGTCAATCCCTTGTTGAACATTTCGCACTCAAGTGTAGCATTTGTAAATAATATTTTGTTTGTTTATGAAGTTTGAGAAGCCAGGGAAAAATCTTTTTTACGTTGGGTTTAATGTCCTTGGTAAGGTGAATACTATGTACAATATTCAAAAGAGGTTATCTAACTTAATGTAGCTTCTAGTTGGCGTCTTCTTTGTTGCAACAACATAGAAGATCAAGCTGATCTTTCTTTTCGTTGGTTGTTTAGCTCTCATTCCCACATGCAATGGTTGGAAAAGTGTGCCTAGCCATGCTTCTCGAAATAGCGAGGGGTGTGCACCTATTTCAAAGAAGTGAGGTGCCCTCATTCAAACACAATTTGTCGTGTGTTTCAGTCCAAGTGCACACTCTTTAGTGTGTTATGAATCTCTCATTTGTATTTTATTTTTAAATTTTTTATAATGAAGAATCTTTTAGATATTTTTAGGTTATCTTTTTCTTTGTCCCCAATTTCTCTAAAAAATTCCATATGATTAAAATCTGTATTATTTTATTATTCTAAAAAAAAAAATTCCATATGAATAACCATGTCCTTGTGATGGAGGTTTTCATCATTGCAAACCCTTTATTTAATTTGTTTTATGTGCATCCTGAGATTTCAGTTCAACCTGAAACTTGATTTCCACAAATTGTAGAAAAAACATAAAAAAGAATTCCCACTTGAACTTTTGATATTTATTTAGTTTAACATGAGCCATTTGTCATTAGCCTCTTTGAGCTCTACTTGTAAAGACAATATATATATATTTATCTTGAGTGAGGAATTTGTCATTTGATTGATAAATAAATCTCTTGGTCCTCGTTATAATAATCACTACAATGTTGCTTTTCTAATTGAAAACTTGGTTTCAGCGGAATGCCAAGCAAGTAGAGATTTTCTTTTCAATAGGGCTCCTTGTAATCACTATTTTTTAAGAGAAATTTTCATTAATTCTTTTGCTATTGTCCCCTTTGGTTCTTATATTTTAATATGGTGATCAGGGTAGCTTTTGTGGGTATGCTGCAAAGACCTATGATGCAAATGAATGGCCGGAACTTCTCTTCAGATAATGGTGCGATATCACTGTCTTTTCTTAATGATTTTTGTTTGTGTTTTGTCTTGAACATTTCTTGTGGTTTAGTTGCCTTTGTATAAAATTTTGTGGTTAGCTGACGTTGTTTGTCATCCTAGGAA